TTTGTTGCAATCATGCTTAGAGCATTAGCTGTCCAAAAATTCAATGGCAATCCTGGCAACGTCACCCATACAGGGAGATTGCTACTTTCCTCATCATCAAAACCAAAAAATGATGGTACATTTGTCATCAGCTCTCGATCATAAACAAATTATGGGCTGCCTTCAAGTACTTGTGCTCTATCGTTGGAATTCTCAAATTTGAACACGAACCATCCACTTTGATGTACAAAGTATTGGTACTTGACCCCCCATTTATCACACATCTACAAGAAGGTTGTTTTACCTGGGAAAGGACCGAAAAATACCCAGCCAAGCAGTAACCCCATGCTCTTTGATCATCATCAAAGTCCTTTTCTCTGAAAACCAGTATATTCAACAGGTTTTCACAGGTTTTGAGCTTGAAACCTACTTTAATCTGGTTTTTGGAGGGATTTTCAGTTAGTTTGTGTTCAGTTCTTCAAAGTTTGAAAGCTGCCGGTTGGTTTTCAGCTCTGGTTCGGTTTGTATTTAAGGCAGTTTTCAGGCTAGCTGCTTTGAATCTGGTTTCAGATACTTGGCCAGAATTCGGTGCTGCTTCAGTCGGTGTATTATTGTTCATCCAAGGCAGTTTTTGGTCCACTAGGTTTCCTGTTTGCTTCAGCATGTGCTTGGTCCCGTGAGTTGCGGCCACTGCATCTCAATCGTCTCACTGGGCTGTGACTGGGGGCTAATCCGGTTATATACTCCAAGCTCTATTTGGATTCAGATTCGAAGCTGGGTTGTGCATGGAGTTGGGAGTGAGGCTATTTTGAATCTGTGTTTGGTTGTTTTTCTTCGTTCGGTCCTGGCATTTGTGATTTTTGCCTTTCGGTCTTGATTCCCTTAGCTTTTTGGTGTTGTCTTAATTGCCGACAGTTCTTCATCTTGCTTGGTTGGACGTCTGGTGGGTGCTTTTCAGTATTGTCCAGCTGGGTTTTGTTTGGGGGTACTTTTAAGTATAGCTTTGTCAAACCAACCATTTTCCATTTTAACCATAAAAATCTAACATTCACCACAATAGCCATTTCTTGTATAAAAGACAAAAACGCCCTTAAATGAGTTATATAATTACAAAAATAGAAATATGGTAAAAAGACAAAAATATCCTTAAGTTACAAATAAAAATCCAAACAAGGCTCAATTGAAATTTGAAAACGAAGTCAGTCTTTTCATCAGTTTACTCTAACACGATAAAAACTCTTCCATTTTTCATCCACTTCAACCTCAAAATTTCATAAACTTATCAGTTATCAACCTCAACAGAAAAATTTAGTTAAATTTCAGCAATTCAATTCGGTAAGTATCTTTTCGTAGTATTAATTTTATTTTTATTGAAGTCGTATATTTTTTTTAAATGGTAGAAAAAATAATATTAGAGCCAAAGTTCAGGCCGGCACCGATCAGACGCCGGAACGACGGATTTAACGACGGTCGAGACGGTCCGGACCGTCGGCAACGGGCGGTCCGGACCGTCCGCAACGGACAGTCCGGATGGTCCGGACCGCCCGTTGCCGACGGTCCGGATTGTCCGGACCGTCCGTTTGCAGACTCCCCC